TAAAAATAAATGTTTTAAGAATGAGCGAATGAACACATCTTCAACCCTTCTCCATATACGTGCCTCAGGATGCTTTCGTTTTCATTCCTAGCATTTACGTGCATGTGTTTAATGGCCTGGCATCCTGGACTTTACCTATGAGTGGGTAAGGGTCGTGTTTGTTTTGTTCACTACTACGTCCCCAGTTCCTACACGATGCCTAGAATATGGGAGGTCCGCAGTAGATACTCTTTGGAGATTGAAGGGAAATTCTTCTGGCTTTCTGGCTGAGAAGATGAAGTCTCCTACATCTGCAGCTGGAACCTTGAATGCCCGCCTTCCTACGCCTTGAGCAATCCTCAGCTAGGAAGATGTAATGTTTCCTTGACCTCTCTCCGAATAAGATCCCTTCCCAAATAAGGTGAATTGGGAGTGAGGTACCTTGATTTACTCACTTCCAGACTGCAAAGGAGACACACGGCAGCTGGCGAGAGAAGAGCCTTTAATTAAAGATGAGTTGCAGGCCGGGCCCACTACTCTTGCGCCCTCGGTGGAGGGTGGACAAGGGTAGGAGAGTAGGAAGGGAAAAATGGGGTAAGGGGGAAGCAGGGAGAAGGGGAAGGGCACGGCCCCCTGGGGCTGTCTGCTCAACTGTTCTCCCAGAAAAAGTTGTTACAGGCCACTGTGAGGGCAGCCACCAGCACCACATACTCTTGGAAGTCCACCTCCCCATCTCCATTCTCGTCTAGCTCTTTCATCACCTTGTCCACAGCGTCTGCATCCTTCTGGGCCTGTGGAGGGGGGAGATGGAGAGATAGGTATATAGAGAGGGGAATAGTACTGAATCAGGGGCAAGAGGGGTGGTTGATTGGGAAGAAGGAGGCAGAGATGAACAAGAGGGAGAACTACATCTCCTTATGGTATTCTTCTGAGTCACCCTTCAGAACACACTTGTGGCCTCCTGTTGGCTACAGAATAAGCTTCTTAATGAGGCAGAGTAATAACAACATCAGTTACCATAGGTTTGGTGCCTAGGATGCAACAAGCTTTACAAGCATTGTCTAATTGTAACGCAAATAGTATGAGGCAGGTTTCATTATTCCCCTACTAGAGAAGAAACAAATTAACACTTGGTGGTTAAAGAATGTTCCCAAGTCACACAGCTAGAAGCTGCCAGAGTCAGAATTGGAACCCAGGCCTGATAAAATCTCAAAGCTGGTTGACTTTCTACTGGCTTCTTTACCATATAAGCCCCTGTTAGCATTTGCAGCCTACTCTTCTGCACCCTTCACTCAGGTCAAAACCACTGAGCATGCTCCATATTCTTTTTTCTTCCATGCTTCTGTTCATGCAGATACCTCCTAAAATGTCTACATTCGCCCTGATAACATTCCAGTGGAAATCTGTGGCTCAAGTACCACCTCTTTGGAGGAGCCCACTTCAGTCCGGTTACTATTTCCCAGAATCCTTTCTGGCAATTCTGTTAAAGCTCTGAGTACTTCCTGAATGGCCCAAGACTTCACGGGGACGGGGATCTCGTTGCCTCCTGTCAGCGGACGGGGGCCTCTTTTGGTCCTCCAACTCTGCTCTCTCCTGAACATTTCACTTCCTGGTGTTCATGGTTTACTTTCATGTGTCAGTGTTTCCCTTCTAGACCGTGAGCCTTGTTATTGATGCATCTGCATAGGTCCTAGCACTTAACAGGTGATTAATAAGTTAGGGTATTTTTGTCTTGAGCCTGGAGGGGTAGGGAAGCCTGGAAAAACCCAGGAGAGAAGTCTGGGAGAGGAAGGAGACAATTGGGCTGTGTTGGGAAGATGGAAGGGAGGTGTCCCTCCACCCCTCACCCACTCCACCCTGTACCCCACTCTGCTTACGTCCAGGAAGCCAGAGAGCTCGGTCTGCAGCAGCTCTTTTAGCTCCTTCTTGCTCAGCTTGTACTTGTCTCCCTCCTTGCCCGAGTGGGCGTGGAACACGTTGATGAGAGTCTCCATCGCAGTCTCCAGCTCTGAGCCCATTGTGCAGCTCACCTACCCACCCCCACCACGGAAGGAAGTTAGGGACCATGCTTCAGGCTATCTGGAGTCAGGGTGAGTGGAGCCCTCAGCCTAGCCCTGGTCCCACATCCGAAATAGCCACGAGATCAGAGCCACACCACAGTTTATCTTTCACTGAGATTTTATGACATGGCAACCTAACAGACCTGAATCTAGACTTGCTCTCTGTGTCCCTCAGTCCATATCCCAGCCAGAGGTAGCCAGTGTTTGGGGCACGAAGACAGAGCAGCCGTGGCTGGCTCTAGAGGCCTGCGGTGGACTCTGGTGGTTCCTGGCTGCCTGGGCAGACACTGAGAAGGGTGGGGCAGGCAGGCAGGGATGGTCACAGGACCCTGCCAAGCTGCCTCTGGCTCTATTTTTACCCTGCTATGCCTGAAGCTCTGCTGTTGAGGGTGGTGGGCTGCACCCCCTTCTACGGCCTTGACTGCTGCCTACCCCTAACAAGGAGTCCGTCTGGTGCCCTCAGTCAGCCTGACAGGAGAGAGTGGTGGCCCGTGTGGCTGGCCCAAGGCTTCATGGGGAGGGGGGATCTCACTGCCTCTGAGTTTCCTATCAGCAGACTGGGACCTCTTTCGGTTCTTCGACTCTGCTCTCTCCTGAACATGTCACTTCAGCTTCCCTGGGGTGCATCTCCATGACCTCTAGTTTGGTTTCTCTTCCTTCTCTGCAGAATCAGGCCTCCCATCGGGTGATGGTGGGAAGGGAGAAGGAATGTGGACACGTTTCCCCAGAGCCAGGGCTCCCAGGGAGGGGGGAGGAGACCTCCGGGGCTTCATCCCTGCTCCTGCCTACTTACTCCCACCCCTAGGCCCAGCCTGGATGAGGTGAGGACAGTGACAGCTGGCAGAATAGGGCTGGTAAATGTTGGGGGCTGGGAGTAAACAGCTGAGTGCATCCTCTGAATTCAAGGGGCTGGAGAGAAGGAAGAAAAAAATGGAGGGGTTTGTCGAGGAGAGGGGGCCAACTCAGGAGGCCTCTTTCTTTTGGCCTTAGGATGGTCAGCCCCTCCACAGCCTCAGGGGGCAGCTCAGGTGTCTCAGATCAGGTGTCCTTGTCCTTCCTCAGGCCTAAGGGGCTGAACAATGGGCCCTGATCGAATGACATTCCAGCTTTACAATGGGGACCTTGTGAGTGTCACCTGAACTCTGGGCATGAGAAGCAGTTGTCACAGAGACATGGGGGAGATGGAACCCAAGCTGGGGCTGATGGAGGGGATAAGGGGCGCGTGTGTGGGAGGGCTCTTGGTGGCTCAGTAATTGGCCCA